ATTTTGTATTTTCTACTGCTTTTATTTTATTTGGTAACACTTTGAAAATTTCAATAAATATCTTATAAAAAAGAAAAGAAAATTTAGAAGCTGTGCTCCAACCTTGCTCCCTCTTCCATGTAATGCTGTTTGGACATATCCTTATCTCATCCTTAGAAAGAGTATATGCACCATACATTGCTGTGCACTTGCTCCAAATGTGTGCATTCACACAGGCACAGGATACATGCTTGCATTCATTCATTCAAATGACAAAAGCCCCATGCTTTCGAGAGCCTTTGGTTTCTAAAACTATAACTGGATTAAGATATTCCAAAGTGGTGGAATTTCAAGAGTGGTGTTGCTAACAGAGACACAGCCTCACTGGCTTTTGGAACTCTTGGCTTGGTGTACATTCTTGCACTTCTTAAACACCGAACACAAAGAGATTTTTGGAGAGTGGCGTTGCTGACCTGGCTGCTTTCTGAATTCCAGGACATATCTTGCTGGGATAAGCTTAGTCTTATGACTTGTAAACTCCCACTTTGGATTTCTGTGCTCCTCCTCATCTACTGATCCTTGACTGGCAAAATCTTGACTGAGGAGAACTGCCTCCCTTTTGAACTTTCCCTGATGCACAGGAACCTTGCCATTGTTAGCTTTCCACTGCACCACTTCAATGCCCCTCCTTTCCCTTGAACTCTAAAGCATCACAGCCTTCTGGACATTGCAGTCATCTCAATTCTTATCCTCCCTCTACCTTTCTTTTCTCTGAGAAAGCCTTCAATGTATAATTTCCCAAGTACCTTACAAGGGTATCCCAGTATCTAGAGTAATTCCTTAATTGACACACTCTGACCTGTGCATTTTTGTAAATGTCTCCAAACCCAGCTCTACCAGATGGATAGTGACCTCTCTTCCCGCAGAATAATGCCAGGCAGAAAAAGGACTGCACTAGACCTAGCCCCCCTCTTGTGTTTGAGAAGGGCTTATTCCTGAACACAGGAAAGCATTTTTGGATTTACGTACCCCAAGTAAACAGGGCAAAATATTATTTTGGGCTCAATAAGTCCTTTTGGCTAAGACATTCTAATAAAAAATAAACAAACATTTCTCAAGGGGCTAAGAAACACAACATTGTATTTATAATAAAATCAGCAATGTCACAATCCTGTCTACTGATTTAAAATCAAAACTGGGGATTGCTAACCCCTGCCCTGGAAAATGGATTAGGTTTCCACACTAATTGTTCTGTCCTTGCTAGACACCACAGAGTTTGGGGGCAGCGGCAGCAAAAGGGAAATTAAAACAGACACAGAGCTGGTTGGGCAGAGAGGTTTAAATATCTTCACTCAGCCGAGGGCCCTGGAGATGTTTAATTACACAGAAAGAACTTGGGAAGTTCAAAAAGTAGTCACTTTATCTTAAGATGGTTTTTATGGTCCTACCAAAAAAAAAGTTGAAGGAAAGAAATGTCATGGGCATTAATGAGCCTGGCAAAATTACTAAGCCTCTCTAATATCTATAATACATACTAAGTAGAAGATGTATTCTTAAATAATGAAGACCCAAGTTTTAGAATAAAGTATAATTTTATGCTGAACACCTCACCAGGCAATGTATCTTTTATTCTTTGTCTAACAAGATATATTAACAGCTGTCTAGGTACAGATGGCTTGAAAGAAGCACTTACAGGATCAGCTATTATAATTATAATGATACCATTAAATCTAATGATAATTTGACTACTCTGTGTGGAACAGATCTTCCTCTATAATATTGCTTCATGCATCCTCTTATACTATGCTATTAGATATACTAATCATACAGCGGCAGAATAAGCATTCAATGGAGAAAGGTTGAGAGCTACATATTTAAAGAAAGAAGCCTCACTCTGGACTGTCTGCCCTAATAACCTTCAAATGTCAAGTCACAAGGTGGTGGGGCAAAGCTCAGTTTTTAGTACTTCAGGGGTTGCTGCTGAAGATCAGCATGCTTAGCTGTACAACAGGCAGCTTGTGTATCTGTTTCAAAATAATTTGTTTTCTCTAAGAGAAGTTGAGAAGTACCAGTGAATTAATGTGTTTAAATATTCCATAATTGCAAGGGGTCCAAATAAGAAAACTTTTTTTGGGGGGGAGGGCATGGAAAAAGAGAGAAATAAACTTGGTTTTCTATTTCATGTTATTGATCAGTGGACTTTAACATCAAAGAACATCCAGTCACCTGGGTTCTTAGGAAAACTGTCACCACATAGAGAGAGCAATACAATGGATATGTATCGGTAGGAGGGGGACAATCTGTGAGTCGCAAAGCTGCCACTACTTCCTATGTCCTGCTGGTTAGCTGCGGCCAGGGTGGGAGGAGATATTGTATCCTCTGGGTCTCTCCACTCCTAAATTGATTGCAATAGGAGGGGATTAATTATGCCTGCTCTGAGTTGGTATAATTAGGGGACCCGTCTGGGACTATGGTGGGGGAATGAAGGGGCTTAGGATTCAGCAGATCCACTGTATCCCCACCTGGAGTGCCCTGTTTTCACCCCCAATGGGACATGACCACCAGGTGGAGTTTTCTATTGCTGCACCAGGGGACCTCTGGTGATGGACTTCTGGGCACTGGAGAGATACATCAGCAGCATCTTGCTGTGCCTCAGCCACCTTCCCTTGGAGCACAGGATTGTTCTCACAGTTTATTAACTGAATTACTCCCTCCCCCCCCCCCATTTTCTAGGACAGAGTAAGATATGTGTCTGGACATTCTTTTTTTGTTCTCATATGCCAAATGCACAAGATCACACCCTTGTATGTGGCACTAAACAGAAAAGCTACAACTCCTGAGTGACATATTAATAATCATTTACACAGCAGACTCATAATTCACCTACCTGTGTCATACTCTTGACATGAAGTAGATCTATCTATGGCTGCCAAGTGTTTGTGAAGGGCAGTAAGCTAAAGTTCTAATGATATTGTAGTTACCATTGTTACCAGCTACTGTTGCTACTGCTGTTTAATCACTGCTGAGGATAACACAGTAATAAGAGATATTCTAGGTACATGCATTTGATTCTAATATATGGCATCCCAATGAGAATACACCCTTATTTAAAAAAAAATAAAATAAAATTATACAAATCCCACCATTTTTTCTATGCATTTGTGGCACATTGAGGCTGAAAGATGGCAGCACTATGGAACCAATATTTGTTTTACATTGAGTTTAAACACTATTTGCATGTATCACATATTTCAATTTGGCAGAACAACTGGATATATAAGCCACATGGGAAACCTGACAACAAGCATAATTTAAGCAGCTCTTGGTTAATGTCCTCCATGGCTAGGGCTATAGAGACCAAGGTTATTTGAACTGTTTACACATGGATTGGTCTCCCCATATTGAGACATATGGTGTTAAGTGAAGTGTACTCATACAAACAGCCCCAAACTTGTCTGAACAGAATGCTCTCTTACATCTACTGGAAGTTTAAAGAAATTTGGAGCGTGGTCCTGTGAAGACTGCGTCTTGATTGCCTGTCAATTTTTTTGTTCTATGAACTGCTGGGTGCTACAATAAAGAATAGACTTGTTTTCATTTTTCAGTGTTGGCCAATCTATATGGTTTTCTAGTTGACTGAATTGCCACATCCAGAGATAGCAAAAGATGTACAATAGAAAGAAGCTACACATCAAGTGACATAAATTTAATGAAGATATTGATAGAACTAGAGTCAGGGGAAAACCTCAAGTGAAGTCCATTCTCAACAGATATAAATCACTGGCATTTTGTTTTGGAGCAGGTTTTTAAGGCTGGATAACAAGATGAGGAAAATAGTGTCTCTCTGTGTGTGATCTGATGATTTAAACAGAATCATAGAAGCAAAGTCAAAACTTGAGCTTGGCCAAAATTTGATTGTGTATGATTTCTGTACTCTATATTTCCTATTCATGAATAGGAAACATAGTTCTATTTGCAAAAATACTGTAGAAAAATACTTCTGCTTTTATCTTGAAATGTACTTTCAAGATTGTTCATGGCTTCCAAGCCATCAGACTGGAAGATACATCACTTTTCTATGTTTATTTCTATGTTTATTTTGAAATTGCGAGGTGATCCAAAACTAAATAAAGGAGTAAGAAAATGTCAGGTATCATTGTATGTGCACAGTAAATTACTTAGGAACAAAAATAAATTCCC